CTTCTTGCCTTTCCCTTTCAAAAAGTCTTAGTCTTAGATTGTTGCAGCCGCCTCATCCTTTGCTGGTGTGCTGGGCCTGATGGATTACGACGCTATGTTGTCTGCAATCCGATAACCCATAAATGGCATGTACTGCCAAGTAGCATCCATTCGTTGGTTAGGCTCGCTTAGGTTTTGACCCAACATCCTCTCACTTCTATATGATTGAATTTGTTGAGGTGGAGGGTCCGTGCGTAGATGTGGAGATCTACTCATCTAAAACTACATCATAGATCTTTAAGGAATCTAAATGGGGCGAGGATATTGTTCTACGTTCAAAATCGAGAAGTATTTTTCTTAATGGTTTTATGCACATGCTTGAGTACTCTGCGATAGTTGTTGTGGATATGGCAGGAAAGACATGGAGGACAATTTGTAAACCACGTGGTGCTGAAATGTTCATCCATCAAGCTCAGGGTCACCTGTGTGTGTGATGTGCTGATTTTCACAATATGTCTTGGTTTTAGTGTGGATACTTGAAGACTATGGTACTGATAACTAGAGATTGAAGCATGTTGTGGACACGGAGGAACTATTTGGACACATGAATATTAAAGTTGGTTCTGAGCTTTGTGATGAGGAGTACAGAGTGATTACAGTTCACCCAGAATGGAATTTCATTTTCCTTGTTCGGAAGGATAAAACATTGATTGAATATGACATGGACCGCAGAAAGGTTCATGTCATCCATGCCCATGTCATCCACTTTTGTAGATCAAGAGGGCGTTTCTATATGAACAGGCCTTACAATCTTCCTTATGTTCCCTTGTTCATGGTGTCATTAGCAGAGTAGTAAAGGTGCATTTGTTGTATTTTGTCATCATGATAGTCTTTGTTCAGATAGGGAGTTGTTTTCATTCTATGTATGTATAGGCCAATTTTGGCTTGTTAACTAAAGGAATGGTATGTTCAATATTATTAATTCTGCTGCTTTGTTCAAGTTGTGGATCAGAGATGAAGAAGAGGGTTTCAATGGTCCATTGGATACCAATCCGAAGGATGCACTAATTATATTCATTTGTGCCTAGCAAGCAGGAGTGCCACATGGGAGGAGCATAGCTACATCATTTCGTTATGTAAGTATGCAGAGAGCAGTATATTTAGTTTGCAATCTATGTACCATTTGTGTTAGGACATTAATTGAGAAAGATGTTATGTTAAGCATCCATTGTTATTGTAAGAACATGGTTTATGAATGCAATGATTATATCTATATGCTTTGTGTTCAGTAAGCTATTAAGGATTGTTTATTGTTTAGTTATCACCACTGTCGTTGGTGGTGCAAACGTCCAACACCATCGCTATAGGTATTATACGACAGGGATCAAAAGTGTATCACCGCCTAAACGATCATCAAAGCCGGATCGTGGTGCAAGGCGACGGTGACCATGACCTTTGTACTGGTGGTTTATACGCTGAAGCGACATTGGTGTTAACCTCTACGTGGATGTGTCGGCCGTCGAAGCGACAGCGAAGCTGCACCATAGACAGTTGGGTCGAAGTACAAGGCGACGGTGCTGGTGACCACTACACAAGCGGTTGATGTGCCCACACGACGGTGATGATAGCCTCCACACAGGCGAATCGTTTGTCAATTCGGCGGTGTTAGTGTATACCCACAGACGGGTCATGCTCCAATACGACGGAAGTAAGGACCTTATCACGGACAGATGATAAGCCAATATGGTGGTGTAGTCTACACCATAGTTGGTCTCAGATGACGACAATGATGGCTATGACTATCACTGTCGGCAGCTTACTGTCGAGGCCAAAATTGGACTGTGATAGGGGTTACGACGCGGCTGTGAAAGGTCCGAGTGTAGTAGTGCCGGTCCTCCCGGGATGAGAATCCAGTCACTGAAAAACATCTCCTTTTCAACACTATCTCTTCACCCTTGCTTCCAAGTTACTAACCACAAAGTGTCTCACAATGCTGCACGTGTGTTAGCATTTTTCCAAGCATTTTCATGGGTCAATTTGTTAGCACACTAGGTCCTAATGCATATGCAACTATGACTTCACCTAGTGGCACTCAATAACCGCTTAACCATTATTCTCCCCTCTTAATAGTATGGCTATCGATCCTAAATGCACTCAAACCTCTATAGTGTCTTGAGTGACAAAACAAAATCCTATTTATACCTTTGCCTTGATCTCCATAGGATTTTTGTTTTTCTCTTTCTTCTTTTCCGAATTAGAGCACTTGATCATCTCTTTTGGTCATCACCACCACCTTGATCACCATCATCTAGCTCCATTGTTTGGATGTACCAACCTAGCTCACATTCACACTTAATGACATAGGTTAGTACTTTGAGTTTCATCAATTCGACAAAACCAAACTAGGGCTTTCATGCTCATGCCATAGCGTGTGTTCATTTCCACCTCTCTGGCTCCAGGCTCCGGTTCTGCAAGTAAATTTGAAAACCCTTAACCCTAGATCTCTTCTTTAGATTCCTCAAACCCTAGATCCCTAACCCAATCTTGGTTCTTGTCTGATTTTGCTTGCAGGTCGTTGGCTGATGTGTCATGTTGGTGATGCACGTGCCGCTGAGGAACGATGCCGAGAGGGAGAAGAGACAACGAGGTTCGGGTGACCATGGATGACTACGATGTTGTCTACCCTAGAACCATCGATGAAGACCTCATTCCATGCGGGGTGATCCCCGGCGACGTCGACGACATGGGCGATGCTGCTGCTGCCTTGTTCGGTAGCAGTGCTGCTTCGATCAACTTGGATGCAGAGACAGCGGCGACTAGTGATGCTACGGATTCTAACGATCATGACTCACTCACTTCTACTTCTGTGAACTGTAAGTTGTATGTTGTACTTGTTGTATTTGTGATTATGTGATTATCTGTGATCTATATATGTTCTTTGAAAATTTGTGAACTGAATGAGATATTGAGGTGTGGTTGTGATAGTGGGCTTTGGGCTGGCACGGCACACCATTTTGACCGTGTTTTTAGGCCGGCATGGCACGGAAAATAGACCATGGTATCGTGTCTGGGCCATCGGCCAGGCACAAAGCCCAACATGGCACTGCCTGGGGATACGCCGTGCCCTGTCTGGCCTAGCCGTGCCTGGCACGGCCCGTGCTATGCCGTCCCGGGCGGCACGATTGCTAATCTATAATTGGAGGGCATCGGGTTACAATTTTGAAGGTACATACGCAATCCCTAAGAAAAAAGTACGACGGCTCTCACAGGAAACAAAATTATAGTGGATGTCTTCACGGTACCCATCAGGTATTTCATTCACGTGGAGATTTAGGGACTCGCTAAAATTTAGGTGCTTCCTTTTAGCTTCCTTTGTGACCATTATTACATGTATCTTCTATAAAAGAATATAATTTTGAGGGGGGTCACGTCGCCATCACTATTCATCCGGCTAAGGAACAGTACCAACCTTTTTCTTTTTTTTTTTTTTTGCGTTCACACCTGAAAATTAAAAAAAACGTGCGAAGCACGTGGCCTGCAGCTAGTTTTATATTAAAATTGTAATTAGTCTGTTGCAATTTACATAGGCATAATATGTAATTTTTTATTCCAAGAATAGAAAACTCGTTAGACAAAACTACGAACCCGACAATCTTATCTGTGTTGGCATAAAAACAATTAACTATTTATAATTATTTCTATAGCTAGACAAGGGCAAGAAAAATTATATGTTATGATACAAAGACAAATAACAAATTATAAAAGTAATAATTTAATTATAATAGTTGGTTATACAAAAGTGTCGTCTAAAATCATCTTAAAATTCAGGCAGCTGAAATATGAGAGAAGTGGAGAATTTGACCATCCAAGTTTTTTGTCCGTGCGCCATAGGCCCTAACTATATCGATAACGATATGGTTCGAGCGTCCACCCCATGACGTCCCGTCTGAACATGGCTTATCCTCATCCACTCACCTGCGTTGTTCGCACTGCACTATGTTGTGCGCCCTCGTTCACGGTAGTAGGATGGATTCTGCACGTGCTGCTCGTCTACGCCACCCCTACCCGTACTCACACGTCCAGTCGCAGCTGTGCTCCATCCACCTGTCGCGCCCACTACCAAGGTCCGTGTCACCGACGAGCTACGCACCGGCGACCTCCGCGCACTCCATGGCATCGAGCTCCGCGCCTGTATCTAGCTCTACAACGACGAGCTCCATTCGTCCGAGCAGCAAGGTGACATTGCGCTTTGCGCTAAAAGTACATGTTGCAAGCGTATGTTTCAAGTGTTTCATATGTCTCAAAGGTATGTTGCAAGGATTTCGTATGGATGTTGCAAAAGTAGATTAGGATGTTGCATATGTTGCAATGGTTGTATACGTATGTTGCAAACGTCTGTTCCCAATGTTTCATTTGTTTTTTCAGACGTATGTTGCAAGTATATTTATCTCGATGTTGCATATATTTCGCACATATGTTGCAAGCGTTTTATCTAGATATTGCGTATGTGTTGCAATTGTTTTATGTGTTTTTTTCAGGTGTTTTTGCAAGCGTTTTAGAGACATATTTTAAATGTTTCATCTGTCTTCACATATATTGCAAGTGTTGTATCTAGATGATTCAAAAGCAGATCCGGTGTGACATCTCCCTTCTCACTTTGTGCTACTTCTCCTTGGTATCTTCTCCTCGCCTTATGCTTCCTTGCATCATTCTCAGACTGTGGAGGGGGCGCAGCGATGACATGTGAAGGGGGTGTGTCGGGGGTCGGCGAAGGGAACGCGCCAGGGGATTGCGGCGTGGATGCGAGCACACGTTGTCCCTTCCGTTACACGGTTGTAGTTTTCTATTTTACGTAGAATGCTGAGATTATTCCGTTGGTGGGCCATGACTCCAGTGCACGGTTCGGTTGGCTAGGGACTAGGCGATACTTCCGGACACGCTATGGGCGCCGGACGCCCGGACGCTACTGCCTAGCTATATTAGCCCCATCTATATCCCTCCTCCCACCATCGACGGAGACCATGGACACTGGCCAGATACAAAGGATGGCGAGCTTGCGTGGGGACAGCAGCAGTCGGGGCTCCATATCCATGTCCATGTGGCGGCAGCGCGGGGACGACGTGTTCTCGCGGTCCTGCTCCTCCTCGCGGGAGGGCAGGGAGCACGACGAGGAGGCGCTGCGCTGGGCCGCCCTCGAGAAGCTGCCCGCCTTCGTCCGTCTCCAACGCGCCGTCCTCCCGCCCGTCCACGACGACAACGCTGACAATGCTGATAGCGCGGCCGCGAGGGCGGTGGTGGACGTGCGCGGGCTCGGACCGCACGAGCGGCGGGCGCTGCTGGAGCGGCTCGTGCACGTCGCCCAGGAGGACAACGAGCGGTTCCTGCAGAAGCTCAAGGACCGCGTCGAGAGGTGCAGTGCGTGCTTCTGTGTTCTGCACTCATGAATCTGGTTATTTGCGCCGACCACTTGCCTGATGATCGATCCACTTGGGGTTCCTGCGGCTGTGAGCGTGCAGGGTTGGGCTGGACTTGCCGACGATCGAGGTGAGGTTCGAGCATCTGCATGCGGAGGCGCAGGTCCGCGTGGGAAGCAGCGGCCTCCCCACCGTCCTCAACTCCACCAACAAGTTCGAGGTGCGTGAGCCACGGTTCGATAGGTTCATTTTTGTTCAGCGCGTGCGTGTGCGTGCGCGCGAGAGAGATTGCTCACTAGAATTTGGAGTGGTGGTTGGGGTGGACCGATGCAGGAAGCCGCAAACGCCATGCGCATACTGCCCAGCAGGAAGCGGACTATGTCCATCCTCCATGACGTTAGTGGCATCGTCAAACCCGGCAGGTGAAATTCATTATCCTTGGCATCGATGTCTATAACTGCTAGTACTATCGTCACTCTCGATTTGTGTCACCATCCAGGAGCGTGGCTCTTGGCATATTATAACTGGTAACTGAGAGTGTTTCTTGGAGCATCACGCCTCTGATTTCTGCGCCACCAACCAGCTGTAGAGGTTACTTAAATTAAATTGCATCGAAATCACATATTAAAATGTAGTTCCTAAACTAAGTTCAAATTAGGATAAAGTCCGCAGCTGAATTATACATGAGTTTTGGTAAACCCCCAACCCCCACCCCATATATTATATATACACACATGCCTGTTTCTATATCTAACATTAAAGAGGATAAAGTTTTTTTCACCTGTTCTTTTTTTCCCCTCTATCCGTTTTCTCTTCTTTTTGTGTGGGGCCGAGAAAACCGAAAGTAGTGAAGAAGGAAAAATAGAAAATTCTAATCTAAAGATAGGAAACTAAACCCAGACCGTAGCTTTAGATAGAAGGATTCCATCACCAAGCTATTATTGTGTTTGTGCGTTTAGTACACAAATCATCCTATTTGAGCATTAGATGGCAGTTCGATGTGCCTATAATAACCAAACAAGTCAAATCATCCATAGAGGATTGCAGTATGGAGAATATATATGCAGAGTTAGTGACCGAAAAGTCACTATCCCAGAACTGGTCTTCGTTGCTGGTTCAAAAACCTTATCACTGCCATTTCTTAAACCGGCAGTAGGAAAGGGGCTAAAAAATAACAATTTTTTTAATATCAGGAGACCCCTTTGGACAGCCATTTTCATGATTTTTCAAATTTCTCCCATAAAATTCTAGCACGATTATTGTGAAATTCCTGCATTCCAAATAGGCGCTTAAACTTTTTCCAATCCCCATAGCGACGTGCGGAGTATCTTCCAGTGATTGATAAGAAAAGCCCTAAAGCCTTCTTTCAAACACATGAATTTCATAGAAAATAGTACAGAATTTCCTACAGAAAAAACATAGGAAACATAAAATATTCCCAAATTCCAAAGTGGGCCTAGTGGCCGACCGCTGGCAAAGATGAGGCGTGAATTATTTCAAAAGTTTAGACTCTCCATGTTCCCCTGCTCTCCTCCCCTGGTTCCCCCACAGCGATTTCTAACCGTTCTTGTCCACCATCTTCTCCTTAGTCTTGATTGCTGTCGATGTTTGACCACCGATAGACTGCCACGGGGGTACCCGGGGTAGTATGTTAGGGCTTCAACGTATGCGGAACTCGATGGTGAACGCAAGAGACAGTCGATTTATCCTGGTTCGGGCCCTTGATCGCTGATCGAGTAATAACCCTACGTCCAGTCGGCGTTAGCCCTTGCGTTGAATTGATTATGTCGTAAAAGTCGTGATCCTCCTGACCTGACCTCCGATCTAGGATTCTTGCCCTCCTTTATATAGTCCAGGAGGCAAGAGTCCTGGTCGGTTTACAATGTAGAAGTCCTATTAGGATTACAGGGTAGCACTACTACTAGGATTACATGGGAGGAATCCTAATCAAACTAGATCTTCTCTTTTCCTTGCGAGGTACCCCATGGGTCCCGCATCGACAAGCCCCCGAGCATTTCATGGTTGAACTCGAAAGCCTCCTTGTTTCCCAAGCTTTGCCTAGTGAATCAAGCTTGGTCCGGGTTCTTTCGATGTGAAGCCTTGAAGTGGTCCTGTCTTGAAGAAGTCTTCTTAGTGACGTGCGCTTTTTCGAAGAAAAAAGTGCACTCACTGAGTGTAGCCCCCGAGACTCTTGCTATTTAGAACAATAAGTTGGAGGGTCCTGAATAATTATCGTTGGAAAAACTAAAAATTTCTTCTGAGGATATGTACCCTGCAGCCCCCGAGCATATATCCGGGTTCTTTTGATTCAAGAAGAACTCGGATATAGGATCTTTTGTCATATTCTCAAGTAGCCTGCTTTCTGTTCGAGGATGCCGTGCCTCTTCCTTTGTTTTCGCTTGAGTAATGAAAGCACATATAAACATGCACGTGCATCCTCATATCTGTGCTCATCTTGCTGATGCAATAATAAATCTTCTCCAGGTAAGTCAGCCTCGATAGTCCATCGTTCGACCATGATCCGATCCGAGTAAGGCAACCTGGATAATCCATCAAGAGGCTTCGGGTGGGCAGTCCCCTCACCGGAGACCCCATATCACCCCCACCTTAGAATTTCCAAATCACCGCAACAAGGTCGACCTTAGTTGTCGAGTAGTTGGAGAAATTTTGAGTAGTGTTTGGCGCTTAGCCCCCGAGTTTGGAAACTAGTCTGTATGCTTGGCATCCTGGAGCGTCGTCGTCAAAGTTTGATCTAAAAGAAAAGATGCATACATTATGTAGCATATTTGTAGGATATTGAAACTACTAAAATTTATTCAGTGATTAATATAAACATTTTGTGTCATGCTCTTATTTCGGCCACATCTCTCCCGAGTAGTTAGCCTGTTACGTTTAGGCTCTCAGTCCCCGTTTAGCCGCAGCCACTGCGTGTGTGAGATCTTTGTCTCGTATACGCGTACGGGCACTGCCATTTGCACAGCTGAGAACTTTGTCTCGTGTATGTGTGCTGGCACTTAGGCGTAACAGGTGCACCTGAGGCTTTCACGAATTAAGGCATGTTCAACTCAAGGAGATTAGTGACTTTAAGAGAAGACAAAAATGAGTAGTCGTCGTTGCAACAAAAAGAGAGCGCAATTGTGCGCAAGAGTTTGCTGCCCTCCGACGAGTAGAGCGCGTGTTGTTTGCATTGGTCAATTATGCTGAAACAAGCCAGAGAAAAAATAATTTTAAAAAGTGACTTAGCTTGATTCGTGGATGATTGTCGACGAAGCCGTGGCAGTCGTTGATGAAGCCGACTAGTCGGAGCCGATTCCGACTAGTTGTCGATCACGTGGAATCCGCCCTCGACTAGTTTTCTAGACGAGAGGAGTAGTCGAAGTTGTCGCCGATGAAGCCAACTAGTCGGAGTCGATTCCGACTAGCTGTCGACGGTGTGGGGCCCGCCCCCGACTAGTTTTCTAGTCGAGATGAGTAGTCGAGGTAGTCGTCGGTGGGTCGCGGAGGCACAGTCGGACGGCTTGATGCAGTCGGACAGCTTGCTTTCGGCTTAGACGGCTCGCCACCGGCTCAGTCGACTCGCTAGCGGCTGTTGATCTCGTACATGCATGTTGGAGTCGTCTTGCTCGAAATCGACTTGCATGTAGATGGCTCGGTTCGTACGCCGGCAGTGCTTCCCGTGGCGTGGCCGAGTAGAACTCCTTTGTTTGCTATACGGATGGCCGTGCTGTAGACGTACGGCTCCATGACTTGCTATAGCATTGGCATGCTTGATGGATGCGTACAACGTGCAAGTGCCTCTCCATGACTTGCTGTAGTAGTCGGCTTGGACAGTACTCGGCACCGGATTCCGACTAGCAGTGCAAGCACTCGTGATGTCGAACTCATGTAGAAGCAGGACTCCCACAGCACGCGTATTATGTTGCGGCTTTGTCGAAACTCGTGCAGTACATGCGTTGCTAGAGAAGGCGGCAACACCCGACGTTGACAGCCCGTGTGCCGTGTCCAGATACGACGTCAGGCTCTCTTGGATGAAATCGTTGCGGCTGTCTCGTGACCGAGTTGATGTCGAATTGAAGTAATTGACGAGTTGACCATGTAGGACGACGGGGATCTGTACGGGGAAACCGAGCTGCCGCGGACGGCACAAGAGATGCACGTTGATCCCGCCGGAAAAATCATGTTGTTGAGGTCTGTCGAGCTCTCGGATGCAAATTCACCGAAAGCCCCTACCTGGCGTGCCAGCTGTCGATGTTTGACCACCGATAGCCTGCCACGGGGGTACCCAGGGCAGTATGTTTGGGCTTCAGCGTATGCGGAACTCGACGGTGAATGCAAGAGACAGTCGATTTATCCTGGTTCGGGCCCTCGATCGCTGATCAAGTAATAACCCTACGTCCAGTCTGTGTTAGCTCTTGCGTTGGATTGATTGTGTCATAAAAGTCGTGATCCTCCTGACCTGACCTCTGATCTAGGATTCTTACCCTCCTTTATATAGTCCAGGAGACAAGAGTCCTAGTCGGTTTACAATGTAGAAGTCCTATTAGGATTATAGGGTAGCACTACTACTATGATTACATGGGAGGAATCATAATCAAACTAGATCTTCTCTTTTCCTGGCAAGGTACCCCATGGGTCCCGCATCGACAATTGCCAAAAATATGACAATATGGATTTTGGGTTGTACCAATAGTGGAAATTGGGTTGTACCAATAAGTTTCTGGGATCAATAAACTGTTGGAAAATATTTGGTACAACAAAATTCACAACACAAGCGAAAGAAGAACAAAATTGACCTTGCCCTGCTCAAACCGGCCGGTTTCCCTGTATGTTGCCAGCCAGCCACAGTGCATGGCCCCAAGGAAACCCGCCAGGGCGGTTTTCCTACCCTTTTCCAAATCGATATGTTTTTCAAATCGGTTTTGGATCTATTTTCAACGTGGAAAACTTAGATATTATGTCGTGGACTTGTTTTCTACTAGAATAAAATCATCATATCTAATCATGGTCAATTGAGGAATCTAACTTGCAATCGTCCAAAAATACATCTACTACTCTTCTAACTCTATGTCTACCTCGTTGTTGGTCACTTCTTTCAACGAGATTTGATAGCGTTTTAGGTGGTCTTTCTGACCCTAGGACAACCTCAAGTTGCTTCTCTTGACGGGTCTTCCCAGGAGGGGATTTCTAATTATTTGCCACCGATATGGTGGCCGACTCTTCAATTGCCAACTTTATCGTAACAACTACATATTTGCCACGGAAAACAGGAACTTTGCTACAATTTTACCATTTTTGCTGATGTGGCACACGTTGTCGCCGCACCAGCGTGGAACTTAGACATCCCCGTTTGCTCCCGTCTACACAGCGCCAACGACGCCTTCTTCTCCATCTGCCTTCAGCACACGGCGTCGCCTTGAGTGCA